GCCCCAAAATAAGCGTCTAAAGTTCCTCAATTAATCGCACGCGTAAAAACGCATATTTCCGATTTAAGCGCGATAGAATGAAATCTCCAAAAAATTCTTGTTACGATAGTATAACTAACTAACATGTGAATATTTAAACATAAAAATACCTATTTTAAGACTAATATACAAGTCTCCAATTTTCCAAACTCATTATATTCTCAAATCGGTTATTGTCTCCAAACGCGTATTCGCTATTCTCACTTAATTAGCTTTCAAAAATTAAATTTTGAAACAAGTCACTTTAAAAATATAACGAAACTATAGACCCATGTAATTAGGTCTAACTAGATTAGGAAATAATATTCGGGACAAATGGGCCATTAAATATTTAAATAAGTTCGAAATGGAATTTAAAATAATAAATTTTTTATGAGTCCTCACATGAGTCGAGTATTAATTTCTCAAATAATCTTTCTTAATCTACCATTGATCATTCTTAATTCTCTAATATTAATACACTCCCGATTCAAGTATAGTCTCGAAAAATGTGTACTCGTTGTTCCGAACTAAACGAATTTTTAAAAATGAATTTTTTCAACAGAACGCTTTAAAAATATAAAAGAGGCGTCGTTCCATATAAATATATTTTAAATAATCAAAATAAATAATTCGGAGAAAATGAGTAAATAAATATTTAAGTAAACTAGTAATATTCGATAAATAAGAAAATTTTCGGGTTCTCACACCATCCATCGCTCCTACGGCATCCTATTATTCATGCAAAACATATAATCATCTGTTTTGAATTAACTTACTATATCGAGCCAAAAAATACTCTTCTTTCTCACATTACCTTGAACCATGGATAAAAATTAGTTGAGTTTGCAATTCGTGGATGAACTACAGTCTGGTCACCCGGTCGTATTATTTCAGCTGCAAATAGACACAGGTCTCGGAGCACCTTTTTTATATTTCAATTAATCGTCTTGATGGATCGATCAAAAATAGTTCTCAACACACGGTGCATATGCTTGTGGCTGACCAACATTAAAGTCATAGCTAGCGCCTACTGTATGGGCACACGCTGTTGGTAGTTGTGTGGAACGTACTGTCTCTGGACAAGAATATCGGACAGTTACAAGAAATTATCAACCGTGATACACATATTGTCTATTGATCGTCTATGATGACAGTAGAGTAATTGCTCCACCCACTGTCTATCGGTGAATGAGCCATCATGTTGCGGAAGTGGTTGATTGTTGGTTACATGTACAAGAGACGGATGCATTAATATTAACGAGGCACTCATAAGAAGTAAGGCCTCATCTTTCTCATCTTGCCTCATGCGATTCGAATTGCGTCCCCTAGCACCACGGCGATTGTTCCAGGGTATGATATCTGAGTATATATCTGTATATATTTTTACATATGTGTGTTCATGTGTGTATATCTAATTTCATAAATTTGTTTATATACGTATTCGTATACATATTTAAAATGTATATACTAGACATAAAATGTCTTTAATTTAAAGTATGAAATTATACATAAATAACCCCATCAGAGTTTACGAATTCATTTCACACCAATTAAATGAAAGTGAGAGTTGCTTTATGGAATTCAACATACGTTAGCAATATGACTTTCATATCACTGTTGTTAATAATTTAGTACTGTGACAATCCTTTCCTACCAACCTCAACAACGGAAAATTTTTCTTCTTCTAAGATTATTAATTAGCTTTCAAGAAGGTCATATTCTGATTAACATTTGAAGTGAAATTCTTTCAAATAAATTTGAAATAATATTCAAGTTCAAAAAGTGAGCCACTGTAATTTTCAATATAATTACTCAAAGGACAAAAAGTCCCAGTGGCCCTCAAACTATTACCCGGATGAAGTTTTGGCCCCCGATCTATTCAAAGTACAAATTGTTAGACCTTCTGTCAAATTCATCAGTTAATACCAACGGAATCTACGATCACATGAGAAGCACACCGAAATACCAAGGGCATTTTTGTCCATAAAGAGCTGTCATCCACTTGGTGAAATGGAGCGAAAAATGATTTTGACCAAACTATTTACTTTCTCCACTATCTCTCCCTCTGTCTGCCATTAATGGTTCTTGAGGCAACTTTTCGACTACGAGCACTACTACCAGCACCGTGGAAGTAGACATTGAAGCGAAATGGAGTGAAAAATAAGGAAGCCAGACGTGTACTTTGATTCATTTTTTGTTTACGGTAAGTGGTCTGACCCTATTTTTGTTCCATTTTCGTCTGAGCAGTGATGGTTTGTATATAACAGAGGAACAAAGCGTGTCAATAACGTTTAAAAAGATGGTATTAGTCAAATTTTCAGTTTGTCGGGAAGATTGGTGGTCCTATATGTTGGTATTTTTTACTGTAGAAATTTATATTCGCTTCAGTGGTCCTACATTGTTTTTTTATTTTACCCATTGACCATGTCCGAGAAAAAGGGGCTACTGAAATAGTAGTTTATTAGCCTAATACAACTGTTTTGACTCATAATTTGTGAGATAATTTATTCTTCCTATTTTAAATATTGCATTGACCTGAGGCTAAAATTGTTGTAGAGGCTGATTCTGAATGGTTTATTATACATTTGCATCATGGGGGGAGAATTAATTGGGGACAATATGTGGGGTATGTTGATGGAGATGTAGATGATATAGATCTTTGCAGTGCCGAGAAAATGTCCATTCTTGAACTGAATAAGATGGTGGAAAAATTAGGACATCGTAGAGCTGCTATACTGTATTACTATGTTGAACCAAATAAAGATCTATCCAATGGTTTAAGAGAGTTATGCACTGATGAGGATGTTAACAAATTTTCAGAATGGGGTTACAAGTTTAAGGTGATGGAGGTATTTTGTAACCACCTGACACCTGAAGAAATTGAAAAATTTAGGTCTCCTTTGTTGTGGTGTTGTGATTGAGGAGTTGGATGAGCAGGGAAGAATAATAGGGGAACCATGTTCTGAAAAAGGTTTTAGAATGGATCTGTTATTTGAGGAAAATACTGGTACAAAAGACAATCGAGATGTGTTACAGAACTCAGGTTTACAGCAGAAACAAATTGGGTCATCAGAACAGCCTCATAGTACTGGACATGGACAGAGCATCCAGCAGCTTGCTAGTGCACTAGATCTAGAAGGGAGAGCTACTACCTCTACTTCAACAGACCAGCATCAAGGCACATTCGAACGAGGTGCTGCCTCTGCTTCTACTATCCAGCATGAGCAAGCTAGTGAACTAGATCCAGAACGAGGTATTGCCTCTGCTTCAACAGACCAGCATGAAGGCACATTCGAAGCTTCTACTATCCAGCATCCTATTGACCATCATAGCAGTGAACAACCTATTGTAGAGGAAGGAGTCATAGAAGATGTTGAAAAATCAGAATCAGAGCATGACTCTGACAGATTTAGCAATGGTGACTACTGTGGCGATGAGGCACTACTGGATGGTTTGATACCAGAGACAACAGGGGGTGGAACTTCAGAGCAGCAGTTTGATGAGCCACTAACACATGAGGTGCAGCTTGATTCACAGCAAAATAATGAAACAACAGGCACATTCTCTTCACAACAGCATGATGCACAGCAGCCACAACAGAAAAAAAAAACAGGTTAAGAGAAGGAAAAATGTACAAGCACAGCAGCAACAAGCTCGAAATGAACCAGAAGCTTCTGATACACTGGCTGAACATGTAATCCCAGACCACCTTAGCAATGATGGTGGCTCATCAGAAGAAGAAGAAGATGGTGAAGGTACAAAGATTTTTGTATGGAGAAATTCAAGATTGATACCAGATTTGAGTTGGGTATGAAATTTGGTTCAAGAGCCCAGTTTAAGGCAGCTGTTCAAGAATATGGTATCAAGATGGGGAGGCCAGTATACACCAACAGGAATGAGAGTAAAAGGGTGAGAGCCAAGTGCAAGGCTCTATGCCAATGATTTGTGTTTGCCTCAATTGAAAAAGCACTTGGGAGTACTGATTTGGTAGTTAAAAGCATGAATGACAAGCATGAAAATTGCAATCACGCCTGGAAAAATAAAAACCTGAAGTCTAAGTGGTTGTCTGACAGGTACATGGAGAGGATTAAGTCAAACTCTCGAATCCCAGTTAGGGAGATCCGGCAAACTGTGAATGAGCAGTACCAAGCTCAAATTTTCAGATGGATAGCAGCCAAAGCAAGGAAACTGGCACTTGAAATGATAAAGGGATCAGCTGAACAACAGTATAAGAGAATTTGGGAATATTGTGCTGAGATAAAAAAGACACATGAGGGCAGCACAATGGATGTGATGTTTACTCCATTTAGAGGGCCTGGGGGCAACCCAAAATTTATGAGACTCTACTGCTGTTTAGGGCCATTGAAAAAAGGATTTAAGGATGATTTGAGGCCATTGATAGCATTGGATGGGTGCCATTTGAAGGGGACTTATAGAGGGCAGTTATTGACTGCCATTGCAGCTGACCCTAATAATGGGTGGTGGCCCATTGCCTGGGCAGTTGTAGAGAGAGAAGCTACGGAGCAGTGGGCGTGGTTCTTGAAATACCTCAGTGATGATTTGGAAATTGAAAATCAATTTCATTATATCTTTATTTTTGACCAACAAAAGGTATACACATATACACTTTGCAATAATGTGAACATGTGTATGTATGTGTATGTATATACATAGTAACCTTCCTTGATATTTTGTTTCTTCCTTTACAGGGGTTGGATAGAGCATTAGCTGAAGTTCTTCCAAATTGTGAGCATAGGTATTGTGTCCAACACATGTATCGAAACTTCAAGAAGAAACATCCAGGTTTGCCTCTTAAGGATAGGCTGTGGAACATTGCCAACAGCACAACGGAGGAACTCTATAATAAAGCAATGACAGAACTCAAAGATTTTGATAACGAGGCATATCAGTGGATAAAAAATGCTCCAGCTCCTCGGCATTAGTGCAATGCCTTCTTTCCGACTCACACAAAGAGTGACATGCTGGTCAACAACTTGTGTGAGTCTTTTAATGCACATATTCTTGAGGCTAGAGACCAGCCAATTATAACAATGCTGAAAATGATCAGGGAGTACCTTATGGATAGGATCCGGAAGAGAAAATCAGCAATGGAAAGATATGATAGCCCAACTGGACCTCTAATCAACGAAATTATTGAAAATAGGGTAAAAATTGCAAGCCAGTGGATGCCTATTTGGAATGCAATGCATGGCTACCAGGTGAAAGGACAAAGAGGGGCCCAATTTGCTATAGATATGAAGAAAAAGAACTGCAGTTACAGGTTATGGGAGGTTAGTGGCATTCCATGTTGTCACGCCATTGCTGCCATTCTTTTGAGAAATGAAGACCCACGGCAGTACTTGAATATTTGTTATAGTAGGGGGCTATTCTTGAAACTTTATGAAAACGTGTTACAACCAATTAGTGGTGAGGATCATTGGCTCCCATCAACAATGCCTGAATTGGAGCCCCCGGTATCAGTAACTCAACCTGGAAGGCCTAGAAAGGCTAGGAGAAGGGACACAACTGAAGGCAAGAATCACGGTAGAAGACTAAGAAGAAGAATCATTATTCATTGTCGAAAATGTGGGGAGGCTGGTCATAATGCAGCAACATGCAAACAGCCAACCAATGAACAAGGGCAGCAAGACACTTCAACTGAACCTGTGACGCAGCAATCAAATGCAAGAAGGAGGAGACAAACAGTAAGTACAACCAACAACGTTCACTTTTAATTTTCCCTATTTAATAGCTAACATGGTTCATGAAACTTTGGAGGTTATGCAGTCAAAAATACCACAGCAACAGCAGGTTGATGAAGCTGCGCATGAGCAGGCACAACAGCAACCAGGCCAGCAACAATCACATGAAGTCCATGATCATGAACCTGGGCACCACCAACCACAACAACAGCAGCAAACATCTACCCCAGGCCCGAGTGAAAAGACTTATCCACCAACCCGTAGCAGGAAAACTTCAACTCGGAAACCACTCACTGATGCAGAAAAATGAGCCATAAATGCTAATTATACATATTTGGGTAAGGAGCCACCGTACACAGTTAGTTCTTGGAGAGGAAAGTGGAGTGGAAGAGGTAGAGGGAGAGGAAGACAAACCACAAAAGATAAAAGGTCGGGGAAGAGCTAATTAAAGAGGAGCAACAGTCAAGAACTGATTGAAGAGGGACCTCTAATCACATTTTTTGCCAACTGTTTTTTATCTTACAATCTTGAATCTCGTTGGATGTTAGTGGATGAATTCCAATCAACTTTTGTTAGTGCTGATTACGTTTTGTATTCTGGCTACATTTTTGTAGACCATTGACATTAGCATTGGTTATGTAGGGTCAGTATAATATGATGGTCTTTATATTTGCTTACTCCACTTTTGCAAATGTTCATGTCTTTGTCTGGTTAGTATATCTAGTTAATGAAATTGTGCTGCGTCTTCACATTGAGGGCCACTGGGACTCAATTGATCTTCACTTTGTCATTCCTTTCAAGCAGGGCAGTTCTTTTACAAGTGAAACAACATTACAGAGTATTTCAACAAACAAGTGAAACAACAAAGCCTTGCAAATATAGTCTGATTTTTTCCCAGCAAAGCATGCCTGATTTTTCATTCAACAAATCAAAACTTAGATTCATTGCACATCTACCGATACAGTCATTACAGAGTACAGAAACAATAATGTGCCCCCACTTCGTTCATCTTCATACTGCTCCTTCTATTTGCCTAAAAACTATGAGATTTTCATTTTTTTTGCCCCAACTAACTAAGATTATAGTTGTAAGCATCCATGTTAACAAAAACAATCTCACCAGACACTTGTTCACCCACTTTTTGCTACGGATTTCTTTTTCTAGTTCTTTCACTTTGACCTTCAACTTTGCGACTTTCCTTTCTTGTCTTCTTACTTCTTCTTCATACGTATCCCTTTGTTGTTCAGCTACATTAATTCTTTTCAGAAACCCAGGTATGATCTCCGTTGACCGGCTGCACATCTCCTTGTCAATCCACTGCCAAAATCTGCAACCACCATCCGCGCACACCGCAAATCTCCATCCAGGATTTCTTGAGGTCCACGAAGTTATGACTCTCGACATTTTCTCACACCTACACAATGGAAAATCCGGATTGTTGGTTTCTCGCATGCTTCCAGTTCAGCAATTTCTTTGGCTGCAATTGAGTTTTTCTTTGTTCAAGTTCAGGAAGAAGTCCCATTTCACCAAGTGGATGACAGCCCTTTATGGACAAAAATGCCCTTCGTATTTCGGTGTGCTTCTCACGTGGTCGTAGATTCCGTCGGTATTAACTGATGAATTTGACAGAAGGTCTAACAATTTGTACTTGAATAGATCGGGGGCCAAAACTTTACTTTTAATTATTTGGGGGCCAAAACTTCATCCGGGTAATAGTTTGAGAGCCACTGGGACTTTTTGCCCTTACTCAAATAATATACTTGCGAAAGACTCTTTCTTGCTAAAATAAGTTTAGAAACTGATTTAAGAAGAATTTGTTCTTGAAATAGTCTCGTAACTAATTTTAGGTACATCCAAAATTAGTTTAAAACAGCTCTATAATTGTATTAACTTGTGCACGGGACAATAGAGACTAGAGAATTTTATAAAATTTATATGTTAGGAGGGGGCGGGGGATGAGTTATTTCAAGCCAATTCGTTAAATTTCACATGCATAAGATAGTACTCTAATTCAGCACGTAAGCAATACGGAGCCCGTGATGACATCAGTTTATCTTCAAATTGATAAGATCTAGTTAGTTCTTAAAAGATTTCTAGTCTAATGCTATGCTTCTTTTATTTCCTAACCAAGTGGGTACAAACGTAGTAGTGCTCTGCAAGTACCACCTAAAAAAAGACTTATAAATTAAAAGTTGGATTTGTACTACTACAAAAAGATCTATCTCATTATCCAACCATAGCTATAACTTCTAACTGCCACTTTGAATCGTAATACCTCAAATAACTGCCACTTTGTTCTGATATCACTTTGAACATGAAAATATGAATCACTTTTACACGATACACGTACAATGTATTAAATGAGAGTATAAACGATTCCCATACAAGAACTAAATAGCCACAGAAATGAATTTAGATTACACTATTACAAAGAGACCGCTACTACTTACCTCGCTTCCACTGGCACACCACGTACAGAACGGTTTGCCACACTCTCTGCCCACACAGAGAAGCACGTACACAATCAACTGTAACACTACTTTGGGAGGAGAAATGGCCGGCTATTCGTCTTGGTAAGGTGCCTCGAACTTTTCGTTCTTGTGATTTTTGGAGTAGCGAGGTGCTCTGCAAGTTCTTAAGGTAGTATGATATATTTATTGGGGTGGATGGCTGATCCGCATTGCGATGCATTTTGGTTGTCGTACTACCATAAGAACTTCCACCACAATTTTCACTTTATGGTGGTACGATATGTTTGGTCTACAGGCCTTGGGATGCAGATTAACACATGCATTTCCGCAATTTGTGGCCCCTGTAGTACACTATATAGGTGCTAGTGCATACCTGCAGACATGACAAGTCTCTGAATATTTGCAAGTGAAAACATACAAGTTCATCACACTTCTACTTTTCAGACTTTTGTAGACTAGCAAAAGCAAAAATCACTAACGTACAAAACCTATCTCCACTATGCTTGGTAGGGAGCCTGGCCCCATAGAACTAATTATTTTAACCTGGCCTCAAGGTCCCAATTATTTCAGCCACGCTCAAGCATTACATTTTACACTTGAACAGCCTCCCTGTGGGTATAAAAATTGCGAAGGGCAGTAGGCATTAGTGGCGTAGGGAAATAGGCACAGCAACAAAGCAGAAGCATTAGTGGAAGTTGCTTCTTAGTGGTCACCTCGTTGTACCATTGCTTTAGCACTTGCTAGAATTTGTAAAGCATCTAAACATTTTGAAGGCCCACAAAATATGAAAGTGCATTTGCAAGATCTAATTTCTGCTTTGTTCTTTGAAGTGCCCTATCATAGTGACTGTTGTGAGTTATGATGAATTAGAAAAACTAGCCAAAAGAGTTATGCTTGAGAGCGAAGCAAATGACCTCCTGGCGTGGTCCATTTTTTTGTTATCATTTTTGATCAAGTTTCTCATATTTCGGTTTCAAACCAAAAAGTGCAGTGACCAATAAATTTTTAGTAGTATCAAGTATTTTTATATCCGAATTGAGATATGTAGAGATATGCAAAACCAAAGAAAATTGATATGTAGCAGCCAATAATATGATTTGTAAATATATATTGTGCCAAAATTCGTATTTTTTGTTTAAAGATTTACAATTATAAGTTTATGGTGTATAACCTTTCCATGACATGTTAAGCTTATTTATTAGGAACAATTATCTTTCATAACTGCTTTAAGCCCTAATCCATTTGGGTGATGGTTAGGCCGAAAATCCATGTGGTGGCTCCAACTTTTTGAATCTTATCAAATAAAAGTCTCGTCTTCTTCTTGATGCATTTATACATGTTGGCACATTTGATATAAGTTTTAATTTTTCCCCCCAAGTAACGATACTTGAAATACAACATAAAAAATTGATAAGACGAAAGAAAAATTTAGGCCAGCAATTTCCCAATGAACTAGTCGTCTAGCTAGATTATGAACTTTAAGATTTGTGCATTAGAAGGCCAACAACTCAAAAATGCTAAAATTTGCAATCGATTTAACTAAATCAGGGAAACAAATAACCATAAATAGTTAAAATGAACAATTATCTTTATGTTTTTCTTATTAAGTCAGCCATTTAAGGTCTATAAAGTTGAAAAAATTTGACTTGTGTACTTGTAGAGCAATCATTTTACAAAGGAAATTAATCCGAAAAGTTGTCCTTATTATTTGATGAATTAACTAATTAATCCTTCATGTTTTATTTAATTCATCAAATTTGCATTCCAAAACTCCCGTAAACAACTTTAGTTTTTATATTCAATTCATTATTTTATTGATTACATAACAAATAGAACCGTCCCACACAGTCTACACTGCTACTCAAAGAAGATAGGTACTGGACTGGCGGCAGTAGCTTTAGTGCTTAATTTTGTAGGCATTCCAACCAGTACTTCATTTGTTATGAAGGTACTGAAACAAAAATATGAGATGAATGAAGAGCTTCTGTCCTGTATTGCACCCTAGAATATATTAAACCAAAAGCCAGAGGAAACACAACAAACATCTGACATAAAATATAACCAAATGCGGTTTACTTATACATAGGCTTTAAAATAATCTGAAATTGTAACCACGATACAAATCCCCATCATGACTCTTAAAGACAATACATATGTTTTATTTTCTATGTCCTCTCAAAGCCAACGTGGGGTAGGCTTATACACACCAAAGAGTAAAGAGTAACTGACTCCAACAAGTAAAGAGTAAAGAGTAACTGACTCCAAAGTCTCAGCAGCAACACATACAATAATAGTTCTTGAAATACGTTAGTTTTCAACAGCCACAACTCAAGCCAAGCCTTTCTCTTGCATCAACTTAAGGATATATCCGTATCGGTCAGTTGCAGAAGCTCGAAGGAATATAACGTGCTCACCCTCTTTTTCATTATTTGCATAATGACAGTTAGCGTGTATTCTCCATTCTGGCAGAATTTCCATTTGTTGATCACATCCTGGCATTGGATTACGCTATAGAGGGACTCGAACTCCATCCTACTCTGTCTATCCTCAAGTACAACTTCGGAGTAATTTCCAATTTTGCTAATAGCATCCTCAAGACCAGTAGATGACCTCACAGATTTTGACCCTCTAGTTCCCTCCGGTTCACCGCTGGTCCCTAGGCTTGACGCTGACCTTTTACCTCCAACTGCCCCTGGAACTGGCGGCACATAGTACACGTCATCTTCATCCCCTTGGTCGCCCATGTTCGCCGGATTAGGGGCCCTCAAGATAGAGGCTTTACCTTTTTCCTTCCGGCTCCTAACAGAAGTGTTGGCCCTTTCACGGCGAGACGGTTCTG